GCCCCTCCCTGGTATTTATCTGGGTAGAAAGTGCACATTTACACAAGACAAAAAGCACAATTTAACATTAGAATATATGAAAATTCCACATTTTCCACATTAAAAATCTGTAAAAAATGTCTTGTTCTCCCAGAAGTTAGACATCTAGTTGAATGGATGAACATCATTTCAGTTTCCAAACCTCTCCTCACTTAATTAGTTAAAAATTCAATGGGATATTTATTAGCCACGAGGTGTGCTAATAGTCGAGTCCAGAAATACATGGGTGTATTGTATGGTTGCTGCAAATAATGGGGTGAGGTTTGAAATGGTTAAGCTAACACACTTTGACAAACACAATAGCACAGTTTTACACCAATATAAGGTCATTTAAACATCATTTACTTTGGCTGCCTAAGACATTTGCACAATACTGTGTGTGTGTGTGTGTGTACACACACACACACACACACACACACACACAAATAGGCGAATTAATATTTATCACAAACACATATCATATGTAAAAATTCTGGGTTACTGGAGTCTGGAGCCTATCCAGGGAATTAGAGGCGCAAAGCAGGGAATAACCCAAGACAGAGCATTAACCTATCACAGTGCTGAAACCCACAGACAATCAATAAACTCCATCTTAATCTTAATGTTTTTGGACTGTGGGGGGAAATCAGAGAACCTGGAGGAAACCTCGGCATGGCACAGTGAGAGCATGCAAACTCCAACCTCAGTCCCCATTGGTGTAAGGCAACCAAGCTAAACACAGCACCACCTCAAGGCCAAACAATTTCATTTTTGAAACCTCTGGCTTCCTGTTTGCACATTCCCTTTGGAAACTGACTTAGCAGCCAGTGTATAAGGTACACCCGCTCATCAATGCTCATTCTGCCAGTTCAAACAGTGAATCACACAGCTGCAACTCAAAACTGAAAGCATACAGAAAAGGTCAAGATGTTAAACACTGTCCATTTTAATAGAGCTTAAGTGATTTTTAATGTGGTATGACTGTTACCGGGCAGCACAGAGACTCAGGGGGTGGCATCAAGTCACACCTCACACCTGATGGGGCCTCAGGTTCTGCCTCTGCTTTGTGAGTGTGCAATGTCTCCCTGCGCAGTGTGGGTTTCCTTCATGGGTCAAAGATACACAGCTAGGTGAAGCGGAGTCTAAATCTCCAATTGTGTGTGCATGCGTGTGTATATTCCCTGCATACTGAATTTACAGAGAATGGCATGAGCACAGGAGAAAATCCCATCAGCAACCAGAAGGGATTTCTGGTTAAGTCAGAGGAGAACAGCCAGAATCAATGGCAACAGGAAGATGACAGGTACAATAATAATAATAAGAGGAGGTATAATGGGGGCATGTGCTAATTACAGCACATTGCAGCACCCATCACATGACAAACCACCTCAGGGATGAGAACCTCAGCACCACGCTAGTCTGAATGGACAAGTGTATTCCAGGGGCTGGAGTGCCAAACCTGCCACTGACCCCCAGATTTGGAGGATCTCCTTACAGGACTAGATGTAGAGTAACATCATACCCAGGATGAAGCAATTGGAGGTTAAGGGCCTTGCTCAAGGGCCCAATGGAGTAGGATCACTACCGGCATTCATGGAATTTAAACCAGCGACCATCCAACTGCTGGCACAGAGCCCTAGCCTCAGAGCCACCACTCCATCACAACAATAATGATGATGATAATAATAATAGGGATATTCACATAACGTTTGTTATGAAATATAGATATAGGCTGTCTATGTAGGTACATTCATTTTAAGTTTCACACGTGTTTAAAACTCAGAATGCTTGTTGGTCCCAAAACAAACGCCCTCGGGTCTGCTACATGCGGCTCAATAACCATCACAAAATAACTTTCTTTTTATACTCCAAAACGGTCTGTTTATCAAACCCTCGAGATTTGCTCAAAGCTTAAAAATAATTTGGAAAAAAAATCCTCGATTTACTTCGATGATTTCCAACTAGACTTTTTACCAACCAATGTCCTTTTTTGTTTCAGCATTAATATGTTTAATATGTTTATTTTGCAAACGACTTCTACTGACTTTTCTGTTTGGAAGATGCTACAGTTAGATGCTAAAAGTACAGAAGATGTTAAAAGTTTTACTATTAACATATAGAAACACATATAGAAAAGACTTAATGGTGTGGGTTTTAACTTAAACAGGTTAATATTTGAGCCTTATATTCATATATAGCATCATGGGGGGCCCCAAGGGAAACGGCATTTCAATGCACACGGATGTGAAAATATCTGCGGATACAAACGGAAGGTAGCCTAAACAACACGAAAGCTGTGAAACGAGAAAAATACGGCTACGCGATCTTATTGGTAATAAAATTTACAATGGACACCAGGACAGGATAGAATCAAATCATGTTTTGATTCTGTGCAGTATTAATTCGACATGACCGCGCTACGAAACTATAGACTGATGTCGAAATACGTAGCCATGAGCTGTTTTCAGTATTACAAAATATTCTCCACTACAACTTGTTTCTAAGAAAGGAAAAATAATTAACTTCACAAACAAAATTTAAAACTGAACCCTTACCCCCGTATCGTCCTCTTCTTCTGCCATTCTGAATATCTAACGTTATGCAGGAATTTTTTCGTTGTCCGTGAACGGTTAAAAGTATAAACAAATAAAACCAAAGACACTTTTCACTAAAGCATTACAATGAATGCAAAAGGAAAAGTGACTTTAATACATATTCACGGAAAAACAAACCGATCGTTATTCACAGTATGTGGGTCTGGATTTCATTTCCCGAAAAATAACTGTAAGTAACCTTCCAAAAAAAAAAGTAGCGCCCCCTAGAGTAGGGGAAGACAAAACGGCGACTGAGACAGAAGGTCATCTACGGATGTATTTAAAGCTGGCGAGCTTTGTCGGTTCTGCTACTGACCAAACACAAAATTATCCCAATCTGTTTACCTGTGATTTTCATAATATTACTATTTGAGATAGAAACCAAGATTATTTTCAGTGATCATTCGCCTAAAAGGTCCGTTTAGAAGCGTTCTTTGAATCGATAACTCCCGACACGTAGCCTTCAGTATTCCCCGAGTGGGTTCCTTTTATGTTTAATCAAATGGAAGTAAAGCAGGCCGGACTCCAGCTTTGAAATGTTGGGTGAGCCACAGGATTATCTAATGTGGGCGGAGGGTAAATCTGTCCATTTTTAGTTTAAAATTTGGCTTGTGAGTTGCACGAGTGTATCAGCAGGCGAGACTGCGTATAACCTAAATTATCCAGTGCAGACATAAGGGGAAGAAACTTGCATTTAAACACCTATATGCCAAGAAGAAATATTTTCAAGTTTAAACCGTTTCAATTTATCAACATTTCTATACAGAAAGTGTTGTCTGTGGTACTATGTATTGTCTACTATCGTCTGGTTTCCCTCTTCTGTGATTGTGTGCTGTAGAGTCAAATCATAATTTCCATCCATCCATACATCCATCTTCTGTTACCTTTTGTCCTGTTCAGGGTCGGGGGGGGGGGGGGGGGGGGGGGGGGGGCACAGCCTGCAATCAATTTCCTATGGCATAATACAAGTTTTCTGATTCTGATTAAAACCTCCTTTTAGGGTTGCACTGGCTTTTCATTTTAAATTACATTAAAGGATATTTTTGTTCCTTCTACCTTAGTCCTGCAAAATTCTCTGTTTGGACTTTGGTGTTGGCAATCTATAAGGTGATTCTACGGAAGTTAAGGGCTCAACTAACCTGAGTAAACACCAGCGATGTGTACACGCTCCAGTAATTGCTGCATGTTTTATGCATCTTTTCAGTTCCACATATTCAGCTCATTGAAATATTTGCGTTATTTGTAAAGGAATACCACACAGGTGAACGGTACTACAGTTTTGGGCACTCCCTTTATCCACTGGAGCTTCAGTCATTTTCTCTTGCAGTTATTTCAAAGAAAAAAAAAATCTTGTTAATGGTATATGTTACTGTAATCAAGCTACTGGTTCAAATATCTTAATTGTTCTTCGGACAAAATCTGTTCCTTTAAGAGATAAAAGGGTTGAATGCCTTTACCACAGGCAGAGCCCACTTTTACAAGCTATCCAGGACATTTTTTGTTTTAGAATTTCCCCAAAGCAAAATCAACCAAGTATTAGTAGGAATGTTTCCAATAAGCCAGATTCTCTCCATGGGTCACTCTTCTCTAGCCTGTCCTATTATGCATTTCTATGACCCTCAAATGCTTTTAGTTTTCAGCATTGTGCAGATACATTTGGCAACCTTTTAAAAGCAGGCCTTGCCACAATGTTTATTATTGAACAATTTAGTAATGTCCATCCTAGACTCTAAATTCAAGAAGTGGAAAATGGTACAAAAATGGTACAAAGTAACTAGGGAAATCTGGTTAAAAGTATTAATTTGTGCAACCATGTTGGTCCATAGAACAGTAGAAGGGGTCTACAGAAATGTATCAAATTCACAAAATATAAGTATAATCAATCAGTTTATGCAATGCACAAAATATCCCACTCCCCCAATGTACATGCCTTGTGTCAAGGGGGAAAAAAGGAGGGAAAAATTCTGTGCCCCCTGAAGTCGAAATTCCGACTTGTAAAGTCGCAGGAATGTACACACCACCAACCTCAGAATTCAAGATGGCTGCACTATTTATAAACAGAAGTTAAAGCTGTAGTTTTACGCTGTTTATTAGCACTTACGTTTTATTTGTGCCTATTTGTCCCACCGCTATCTGTGGACGTGTTGCTACAGTTGGGTGTGACGTTATTCCCAGCACAAAAGCTCACCCTCAAAGTAAATGGAACGCAGCAAAAATGACTATTAACAGAAAGGGCATTAAAATTAAATCAGAAGAGTAGCATAGATTTTTCGTTTGGAACCAAGAACAAGACAATTTTATAAAGGCAGTATACAAAACCGATGCAAAATTTCACCTTTTAACAAGACAAATGCCAGGCACACAGCAAAGTTTCAACAGAACAGCTTAGGCAGTGTGAGGACCTCTTACTTTTATTTTGAAAGTTTTTAAAAGTAGTTTTACAAATAATTTAGACATGAATCTTCAGCGAATCAGTCATACAAATGGGCAAAAACTGCAGCTGGCCACAGTTCAGATGTATTTTAAGTTGAAAGCAAAAAATGTTCTCATGACAGCATTCAGTTTTTGTAAGTTTTCAAATAAAATATAAAAGGCTGTTGATGTCTACATGAACAATTTTATACATTAGGGGGCATCCAGACATAGGAAGCATCCTAATATGCGTGTAAGGCATACAAGCACGATATTGCACAACCATGTACAAAATTAGCATGGAACCTTAACCTTCCACACAGGAGTGTCTCACCCCTTGGTGAACCTGGGCAGTCTTAGGGCACCAGTGAGTGGCCAGAATTAATGCAGCAGAGATGCTCTCTTTCTCAGAGATTGAAGAACCAGATTGGCAGACCAGGTTAGGCTATGCTGCAGGCAATTGGAGGAAGGAAAGAAACAGTTAGTGCTTTTTCATATCTATACTAATACATGCATTGTGCAATTACGGTATTGTTTAGGAACTTCCCAGACAGAGGGGGAGACATTATAAGGGGAGACCGTCTCCCATACTATACCTGTAGTATGTGAAGGCCCTTCAGTGTAAGAATGGCCAGTTCTCTTAAACCATCGCCAGTTAAGTCCAAATAAGTGATGGATAATAATGGACTCTTGAAGCTTCGTTTCCACATTAGATGGACCTGCCTGCTGTCTGAGAGCTGAAATTTGTAGCACAGCAACTCCTGGAAAAACCACCACCCAAATTAATAAAAGAATAAATAGACCTGAATAAGTAAGGAAGGAATTAATATATATTTGGGCATGGATGATGCAAATTAATGAGTAGACACTTAAACCATGACACAATGGTCAACATTTGATTCGCATTCACCAGTTATGGTCACTTGGAGAAATTGGTAGCTACATGTGGAGATAATACCAAAAGTGTGCAATCTGACCCACAGCAGATGAGTACCAGCGGTGCCCAGATTTCAGCTGAGCAAGCCAAATCACTATGGTGTGGTAAACTGTTAAGAACAAATACTCATAACAATTCTCCATAACTACAGCCAGAATGTTGTATTCTCTCCACTTCACAATGAATATACTCTCATGTTCCCCAATTGGTAAGCAGAAGTCAAGATTTTCTACCGCACCAGGTACTGTACTTTTGATACGGTACTTTCTGTAGTTTCCCTTTTCCAAGGACTTATAATTTCTGTACAGAATTTAAAGTAAGAAAAAGCCTAATCCTAATCTAACTGACTAGTGATGTAAGAATTGTTTTTATATTGCACATCATCTAGCCCTTTAATATTGTAGCGCCTGTGCAATATGCTGAGCATGCTGGGACATTGTATTAGACCCTTGTTTGATAATGTTAATATCTGATGCATTTCCCAGCTATCGTGTGTGTGTGTGTGTGTGTGTGTAAAGCTGGGGGTTAAGAGCCTTGGTGAAGGACCTGCAGATGTGCGGAGGCTGGGTTTGAACTGACGACCTTGTGATTACAGGCACACAGGCTTAGCCCACTGAGCCACACGGTGTCCCCATAAAGATGAAAAAACAGCCAAGTTCAAATATTGAAGATGTAATATCCATTTAAAAGCTTCAGTGACATAAGTTGTCTTAATTAGATTTGTAGAACTAAAGGCAAAATGTTTTGGCTATACTTATATACTTACAAATACCTTGTGTTATTCATCTAATAGGATCAATCGAGATGCTCATTTACTTTGCTATCTACAGTATGTGTCACTGCTTCAGTTTGGGTGTAATTTGTCTCAAAATTGGATCAGTTCCAGATCTCTACCCACACAATGTATCTGCAAAATCTGAAAATGATCCATCAAATACTTTGACTCACTGCACTAACAAGAAAGTGCCTGCAGTAGTGGACCAGTCCCAAAATCATATGTATTCCCTGTCTAGGGAAAACAATTATAAACAATTTTTCATACAAAACAGGACACACACTGCCACTCACCTGTCCATAAGTTCCCAGAAGTAACTCTCTGTTTCCATCAAACTCCAAGTCAATTACTAATGCACAAAGCACCACATCATACTGATTGCTCTCTGGCAAACAGATGGAATTGGTTAAACCACATGTATGTACATCCCTGAGAACACACCAGAAACAAAAGTTATAGCATTAGATTTCAGATCCTGCCATCAGCCATGAACATGGGCCCTAGTCAATAATGCCACCCAACTGAGTTAAACTTTCATTATTCTATCTTGGACTGAAGTTCAAAAAGTCAGGATGAGAACCATAAAGAATCCCTCAACACAAGATGCAAATTTATTAGGCTACTGCATTTTTTTAACAGAATGCCAAAAGAATTCAAAACCACCACATGCACTATACGCAGATCAGTCAAATTTTTCATTGTCAGTTTGGCACACCCACAATGATACAAATGAATTCATTTCCTGATACGGTCACAACCTAAACCAACAAGTAGATGTTCAATAAGAAAAATATTGTGCTAAATGTGGCTTTGAGTTGTTTATGGCTACTTCTTGTTGCAGAGAAAGTAGTTGATAAGACCAAGACTGTCTGTGGAGTCTGTTATACCCAACTCAGATGTTGCTGGAAAACACCCAAACAGATAAGTCATTTGAGATGACATCATCCAAGCACGTGTACTGTTACCCCCATGAAGTTTTCCCAACAGAGGGAAACACGGCAACAAAGCATTACGCTACACTGTCATCTGGGAGATCAGATTCCACCATGCTGCTTTGGGGTGTGATTGGTGAATCTGACTGTACATTTATAAAAAGTATTTTTTGTGTAAGCAGTTATGGAAAACGGAGAGACAGAATACCTCACAGAGCTCTCAATAACTATCAAACACTGGATATTTCATTTAAAACATTCTGATATTTCAAAAAGCAGGTATATGAATGCAATGCATACAAAAATGACTGACCTGTACACTACAGCCATCTCAATGGTGCTGGTGACAAGAAGATTATAGCTCTCGTTCCCATCCTCTGTTATCTGACCTTCAGTTTTAGTTTTAGTGATTTGAGAAGGAAAAGCGGCATAAAAACATCGTTTGGAAATTTATAAATGCCTTTGTGAAAAAGTCAAAATGGACACAATCATAACACTCACTTGTATGTGCTGAAGCATCTTGGTCTGTCCTTGTCTGAAGCCGTGGAGTTCCCAGTGAGAAGAGCAGGACCTTTGAGACTGGGCTGTCCTGCTGGATTCGCCAACTTTGCAGAATTTCTATAATCGCAGTGAGAAACACCCATAGATCAAAATAAGCCAAAATAAGCCTCTTTGTCCTCCATACACTTAAAACACAAATTTGAGAATAAGCTTCATGAAGGTTTGATTCAAAGTATGTGTGGTATCTTGAGACTGTGGGAATTCTGGTATCTCTGAGTACTTAAAAGCCTTTTTTTACTGCATGCATCCATTTTCCACAACGCTTATCCAGCGCAAACTCTTTGTGATCCTGCAGCAGAGATGCTCACAAGTCATTTTCTGCAAGTCAAGTCTCAAGTCTCTCATAGTCATAATGATCATTCTATCATCTGCCACATGCCATCCAGTCTGCATAGATCACCGCATTGCTGTATCTGAACAGTTCAAAGCATGTACTACATTATCTTCACTCATTTATCTATTAGCAAAAGTACTTATTACAGTTTCGGCATTGGATTAGTTCTTTGGTATATGGTTATGGATTTAAACAGGTTATTCCAATGCAACAGGGAAAAACACAAAAGAAAAGCTTTCCTTTCAAGGTCTTAAGTGGTGTGAAGTGCACTGCTAGGACAGTTTGTATCAGGCTCCTAGAAGCAGGACTGAAGATCCACCATGTAGGAGGAGAATGAGAATCAGGGAAGAGCCAGGCTGGAGTTTGTATGTATTTCACACAGGTGCATACCCAAAAACTGAGAAATGAGTGAAACTGAAAATTTTACTGTGGTTTCTGAATTTTTTCCAGAGCAGTATGTGTGTGTCTCAGCGGGAACAAGGCAGGGTATTTCTGGTCCATCCCACAACACCAGTACTCAAATTTGGTTACAAAGGGTCATTTAGACACACTAGTCCACCTAAGTTACATGTTTGGACTGTTGCAAAATACCAATGTAGATCAGGGTTCACTAAATATAAAGACGAGAAAATAACAAAAATGTTGCAAAATACAGTTAATGTTTCCCATTTATTCGTAAGGTCGCTTGAAGTCATCCTCCAATTTATGGGACACTGCCAGATATGTTGACAGTCATCTCTCTGCCATTAGAACGTCGCTTCTCCCCTCTACCTGGCTGTTTTTTGGTCATTGCCAGCGTCTCCTGCTTCACCTTGTTCTTGTCTACTGCTGTCTCAGAAACTTTGAGCCTGGAAGTAGCCTGTCGCGCAATGTAGCCTCGGCCAACAGATCTAGGATTAAGCCAGGCTTAAAAAATGCAGATTTTTAAGAAACACCGAGTCATCTCTTGCTTTTTTCCCCCCAGAGGTCAACAAAATTTTATATAACCTCCTACATCAGATTCAACATAAATAAAGCATTTAGACTTCAAACAGGACAACTATATTACATAGACAAAAACACTGACGGTCTGTGACATCAGGGTTAGGGTTACATTCTGCTTAAGATTGTATATGGACATCCTGTTTTGGTTAAACTGCATGTGACACATTGCCTCGAGGCCAGAACTGGGCTCAGTATATACTGGCGAGTCACTAGCCTTGATTGGTGAGTGAATTTGCATGTCAGACTCTGAACAGTACATTTATTTTTCTATTTCAGCTTCTGTTCATATATATATATATATATATATATATATATATATATATATATATATATATATATA